CCGTTTAAAACTGGCGGGCTGGACGCTATTAAAGTTCTGGTAACCAGAACAAGAACAAGAACGGCAGTGAGGTTCTGTGGTCTGCGCCTTGCGCAGACCCAAAAAGAGTCTCTAAAAACCTATACTAAAAGTGGAAAAGTGCCTGACTTTGAATTAAAATGTCTTAGGGCAACTGTGCGTGGAACAAAGTGAGGTGGGGTAGTATTTTTGGTGGTTGAAGTAAAATAAGAACATATTTTGAGATATTTATTTTATAGAAAGGGATTCGCTCCCTACAGAGTGCTCTTGTTATATCATCATCATCATCATCATCATCATCAACATCATCGTCATCATCGTCATCATCTTCATCGTTATCATCATCTTCTTCATCAGTATCGTCATTTACATTATCATAATAACAGGCCTAATGGTAATTATCATTATTCATATTATTAACCGTTATTAAAAAGATGATTTATAAGTTATGCGCTTTGAACATTAGAAATTAAATTATTGATTTGGCAAATACAATTCCTCTGCAGTTATGATTTAATTATAATTATACTGTTTACATATAGGAAACGGTATGTATAAAAAGTATTAATTTGTAATAAGTGTTCTGTTTAAGGCCAGGTAAAATAAGTAGCTTCTCGTCCTAATAATTAAAAAAAAATGTTGGTGAGGTAGAGAGAATGGAAAAGAAAGGCACTTGTACAATTAGGACTATTGTTCGTTTATTTTTTTTCTTCTTTTATTTTCTATTCATTATCAATACTGTTTTTTGTATGTTTTTTGAATGATGCAATTAATAAAATAGTAAATTAAAAAAAATATATTGATAATATTATTGCTATTACCATTATTGTTTTTTTTTTATATATATATGCCTAATATTTAATAATAATTTATCTTTATTATTATTATTGGATGCTATTACAATTTCTACAAGATCCATCAATGGGATGATTAATAGATAGTTTAAGAAACGGTACGGTACGTTTCAGATATTACTGTAGTCCACGATATGGTCATTCGTATACTTTTTTAAATATAAAAATACAATTTATGAGAACCCGAGGCTGAAATTGCTAAAAACAAAATAAGAATGCAGTCTGAAGTAAAATGTCAAATGAGGTTACTATTTTTCAAAACAAGAAAAACCAACAAATCCTACCTGTACCTTATGTGCAGTAGGCGTTACTATTACCGTATTATATTATATGTAATATTTTCTATAATACCCTACAGTATACAGTACATTACTATTACTGCTGTACAACAATAAATTTCCATGTTGGAAAAGTGTGTAAAACTAAGATCAAAATAACATTTTGAGCCTGAAATCGGCAAAAAAGTAAGAAAACTGAGCTTTTATTAAGCTAAAATTTACTGGTTCTTATATAAAAAAAAGTTTATTTGAAATTTCGTAATAAATATAAATTGTGACTCAGGTGAGACGGTGATTTACAAAACGTGGGTGACCTGTTGTAGATCAGATCTGGCGTGCAACGAGTCAGAAGAAAATCCCCAATAAGGGGTAGGTAATCCGAACCGGTAACATACGATAGTAGTTTTTATATTAAATAGTGCAATGCCCCTGTTGAAATCCAGGCCACTCATGACAGGTAAGGTGCAGCCTAAAATTGTAGGCCTATATATAGGCCTAACTCCAAAGACTTTTATCAATCACATCTATTGTTGTTATAATTCATTGTTAGAGGACGCTTTTCAGAAATTGGTTGATTCTTGTGAACTGAATATACCTGCGTTTTCAATTCCGACTTGTGTGCATAGTCAACTCTGCAAATATCCCGACTTCTTCCTAGCATTGAATTCTATTATTTAATAATAATAATAATAATAATAATAATAATAATAATAATAATAATAATAATAATAATGATAATAATAATAATAATAATAATAATAATAATAATAATAATAATAATAATAATAATAATAATAATTTATTTAGGCAACTACAAAGTGGCAAAATTTTCAATAAAACACGTTTCCAAAACAATACAGTAATTCTTACAAAGATTCAACTAAGGCCCCATAAAAAATTGTTAGATTATCACCCTATCAAAGAATTAAAAAAATGATGAGGGAGGGAAGTTTCTATCAAAGAATTAAACAAATGATGAGGGAGGGAAGTATTTTTTTTTTTTTTTTTTGCTAACCCCGCCACCATTTTACCGATGTTCGCAAGTAAATCAATAGTTAGGGAAAATATATAAAAAGTCATAAAAATGGAATCACATTTAGATTTTAAAAATATGTTTTTGTTGTACCAGTAAACATATTTGCAAGAAATCCTGAGCTTTTTAAGGGGAAAAGATGGAATAACGACCGTTTCAAATAAAAATATAGGCCTATGTTGACTGAAAAAAAAAATCCGAATTTTCCAAAAAGTAATGACGGATGGGGTGATAAACTAATAATTTTTTATGGGGCCTAAATAAAAACAGTTACAATGCACCCTCAAATTCGGAGACACCTCTAATTCCGACTCACCTCTAATTCGCGACCACTTTTCCAAAGACGCAAATAACAATCTTCAACCTTTTAACACAAATGCTAGCCCTCTAATTGGAGACCAACCCCGAGACCACCCCAAATTTTCAGGTCCAAAGGGGGTCTCGAATTGGAGGGCGAACTGTAATTTAATTTAATTTATTTATTCAGACAAGTGCCTTTGGGGCTCCAAAAGCAACGAAGTCACCATAACAAAAATCTGGGGCCCTAGTAAACTAAACTAAACTTAACTACATGCTTAGCTATAAAATAAAAATATAAGTTCAAAACCGTAAAACAATGAAGGACCAAGATAAATTAAAATTAAATTATATAGGCCTACACATATTTTGTTCACATAAAACAATTTGATTATTACAACAAAGAACGAAAACACATTTATGATTTTAAAAAAATGTTTAGGCCTTAAGAAAACTGTGAGAGAACAAAATTTTATAAAGGAACATCATAATAATTAAACATAATGTATGTTCAATCATGTAAATAATAACATTTAGTTGTCTTTAGCAATTTAAAAATTGTTATGCGTTGTTGACAAATGGTGTGGGTATTCCGCATCGATCGCGCTATGATAACTGCTGAAACGAGACGAATGAAGACAGTAAGAAATATACACAAAAACTTACTTTAATTATATTCATGCAAGCGTTTAAAAATATGGCAACAATAAAAGACAAATTCAAAAACAGGATTAACATTGATTGATCACAATGACATACCGTAGGCAGAATCTATGTTCGACCTAGGGCCACCTTAATGTACACTAATTATGTATTCTAGTCTTTATTTTATCTCCGTACATATTACCTATATAATAATAAAAATGCTATCATAAATTTCCCTGTAATCAGAGTTTTGACTTTTCACATAGATAACTGCTTGTACTATCGACAACTAGGGTTTCCGCCAGAAGAGGGCAGTATTCAATGTTCTTTTCACATTGCATTTTATAATAATAATAATAATAATATGTATAATTAAACACCTTCAGAATATTAATAATAATAATAATAAGAATAATAATAATAATAATAATAATAATAATAATAATTAATAATAATAATAATAATAATAATAGTAAA